AATTTTGATATAACCTATTAATTCGTAGTTTATACGATGGCAAGACAACTTCATTAGATGTTTATCTACTGAGAATCTCTCTTATTAATATTTGTAGTCTTCAGACAATTAACGGAATATTGTCCAGATTTAATCTTGTAGTATGATTTAATGCCAGGATTTCTCTCAAATGTTGATATTGTAGGTGTGTAGTTGTGCAAGCGTAGCTCACTCTCATGACATTTCCCCTACCAATAATGTATTTCCTAAATCAAAACAAGTGTTAACTTTGATATGTTGCGTAATTTTATCAGATATGATCGTGTCCGTAAAAAACGCCATGTTAATCATGCAAATGCTTTAAATTTATGTGAACAGAATATTATTATTAAGACAGGCTGAAAGGCGATTATATTTACAAACCAACACGCTTCCTGGAGATATTCAGTGCTTTGAATGGCATTTTAACGGTAAAGGAACCGAAATTCGACTCCATGTTTCCCAGAAGAAAGTACCGATGTTGACCGACTTAGTAGTTCATCTCTTCACATTGTGAATATTAATGATAAATTATGAAGACCGGTTATCCAGAATTTGACTAGCTGTCTAAATGTCCTTCGATCACAACGCCGCAGGGATTGGGTGCAGTCGTTGAATTATCAGAAGAGAGTTCTCAGCTTCGTTGAAAGTATTTGAAAATAAAGTTCCACTTAATTAAAGACTGCATCTATCGAGTGATGTGGAATTTCACAAAGCTGAGACATCCAAAGGCTCTGTGTGCAACACTTAGTTATTGAACTTGTAAGCCTACGTGAATTACATGCTTACAAGTCTGCATTTATGAGACAGTGTAGATCTTATAGATTGCCAGGACGCTGATTTGCGAAATTTTTCCGTGTATATCATTCTTGCTTTCCACCAACCTGAGGGATGTGAGACTGAAATAAATATTTCGACCAATATACATTGGGTTTGTATGAGATAATTTTACCATCCACCCCGGCGTTTGTGACTACCATATGACGATTTTAGAGTACTGACCCTATATTTATAGCCACCTATTTCTCAACGTTTCCAGTTGAACAGTAAGCATTTTCTGCTCTAGGGGATTTGATTTCCATCAACCATCTTTTTTACCTATTCGAAATGTGAGGTAATCAAGACTTATCACCGGGCGAGAAATAATGTTTATATTAGATTCAAAAGGAAAACAAGCCAGACAATCCGAAGACCTGATGTTTCTGACGTTTTCATATAGGCAAAGCTAATCATAAGCTTTCCCCGCATATCTCCTTAGATTTGCCCACGGATTTATTAAGACCATTCTTTACATCATCACCGTAATTCAATGTTTTGGATAAATTAATATATAATTACTTATGAGTGAACCAAAGAAGTTATTGTACATAAAGGATGGTAAGAAGTTTTCTAAGCACCCCATCCTCAAACACCTTAGGAGGATGTGGAATTCAATGGCTTTACCTGTCCATGTAATTCAGCTTCCCGATAATTGGTGCCCATAAGCACAAATCCAGGGCCCAGGATTTCCTACTGATTGCCTTTAACTACTACTACTACTACTACTAATAATAATAATAATGGCTTTATTCCAAACAGTATTTGCGGTACAGGTATGGAATTTTCAGCGTTCATTACAATGTTGCATCTAATTACCTCATAAATTTTATAAGGATTTAGAAATATAAAGCAACAACAACAAAAAGAAAAAGAGAAATAAAATAAAAAAGAACAGCATTGCATTCACATATTTAAACAGTGCACCACAGGATACGATATATAAAATTAGTCTGTAATAGAATATATGAGCAACAATATAATAGTAACAAAGAAAGGAGAACAAAAGCTAATGGGAACTATTTGTTAGAGTGCCGCAGTGAATTGATCATGTCATGCCTAACAGTTTTCTCGTCACATAACAGCTGTGCCAGATAAGGTATTGTGGAGTTTTTATACTTGGTAGTCCTGGCATATAGCTTCCTATAGTTGCTTCTAGTTCTACCAGATGAAATGCAAGGAGAGAGCTGCGTATGGAGAGGGTGTTCGGGGTCTGACAATATAGAATTTGCTAGTTTCTTACATGACATTATATGTCTATCCACAATTGTGTTAACCAGTTGGTTTAACGAAATCCCACTTGCCCTACTAACAGCTTTTAGTGCCCTATGCAGCGAAGCAAAGTCTTTCTTAAGTAGTCCAGGAAAGATTAATGGGGAGCAGTAAAGAGGGATGGGTAGAATACAGGAATTGACAAACTGAGAAAGTAAAGACTGCTTTATACCAGACTGCCTAAACTTCCTAAGGTAGAACGTTAAGCGAAACATCTTTCTAGTCACTAGCAAGATGTGAGAGGACCAGGAAAGATCGGAGGAAATACTCAGTCCAAGGTACTTGACATTAGATGTAGTTTCAACCTCTATGCCGTCAATGATAGTGGGACCATGTGAGCTAGCTAGTTGTTGAAGGTCACTTTTTCGTCTGAAAGTAAAATTTACTACCTGACATTTAGACGGATTCAGCTTAAGACCGTTTGAAGAGGACCACTGACTAATTTCCAAGAGAAAGTTATCTAATATGGAACAGTCTGACTGAGAGTTGACAGGCATGGTGACAGAGAGGTCATCAGCATACTTGACAAAAGTGGCTACATCAGAATGGGGCAAGTCATGTAAGAAAAAAGAAAACAGAAAAGGAGAAAGAGCAGCACCTTGAGGAACACCAGCTAAAGTAAGTGAGGTAGTGGAGGACTTTCCATTGTAGACAGTGTACTGCTTCCTATCAGAAAAGTAGGAATACAACCACTTATTTATCCAGCTCTCACTCTGTGTTGCAGCAAGCTTACTTAGCAAGAGAGACCTAGGTACAGAGTCAAATGCAGATGTGTAATCAAGGAAGGCACACCGAACATATTTGGCTCCTCTATCTAAACTAGAGACTATATTATGATATAGAACTACAGCGGCATCTAGGGTACACCTACTATGTTTATAGGCAAACTGGTTGGGGTCGTTAAAAGGCTTTAAAGAGGGTTCAAGATTAAGTAAAATAAGTCTTTCCATAACTTTTAAAAAAGGTGAGGTAATAGCAATGGGTCTAAACTTGACAGTAGGTCCACTTGTTGATTTGGGCACTGGAACAACCTTGATATTTTTCCATGAGTCAGGAATAAAACTTTTGGAAAAAGATTCATTGAAAATGACAGTTAATGGGTAACATAAGATGTCAGCACACTTCTTAAGGATAACAGCAGGAACTCCATCAGGACCAAGGGACTGGGTAGGTTTGAGAGATTGAAGACACTTGAGGACATCATTCGTGTTAAAACATGAAAAGCAGTCATTATTTATACTATTAGATTTGGGAATCATAACATCTGCAGGGATACATATGAAGGATTTATTAAGCATATCAACATCGACAGAAGTATCATTCATTATTTGCTTACCACCTGTGATTTCCTTTAATAGCTTCCACATATTAGATGAGGATTTGCATGAAAGAAACTTCTGGTTATAGAGAGCATTTAATCTTTGTAATTCGGCTTTAATCAAAGTGTTTATTCTCTTAACACCAGATTTATTTTTCATTTTGTATAACCTCTCTTTTTGACGGCGAAGCTTTTTGAGCTGAGATGAGGCGAAACGGTCGAACTTTAAGAAGATTGTCTCTTTAGGACAACAAACATCAAGACAGAAATTGAGATAATGTGTTATGTTACTAATTGTGTTGTCAAGAGCTTGTTCAGTAAACAGGTCCCAGTTTGTGTCTTTTAACATTGTCCTTAGATTCTGTATGTTATCATGTGAATAGCATCTGTGTTGTGTTTTCTTTCCAAGGTGGGAGAAGACCCTTTTGTGCAGCTTTCCATATACCTTGGGCAATACTCTTCTGATGCAGTGATCAGAGTTAAGTAGTGGGGCTCTTTTCCGAGCTTCAAATATTCCTATGTCATTTGTGAACACAAGATCTAGAATATTATCCATTCGAGTCGGGAAGTTGACAATGTTATCATGACCAAGTGAGATAAGGAAATTGTGATCACTAGAATTGAAATCTCCAGTAACAATAGACAACGAGTTTCCGAAGGAGGTGGCAGCAAAGGAGGTAAATTCATCAGCAAATAGAGACAATTCAGTGGAATTGCATCCAGGTGCAATATAAATGTTCGAGATGTATATGTAGTTATATTTTGACAAATGCTTAGGTCGACATTTGACGGTGAGGCAGTCAATGTTGTCACTAGAGAATTTGAAACATACTTTATTAGATGTACACCATTGTGAATTTATGAAGATGGCGACACCTCCACCACGTTTCTTCCTAGTACTGCATCGATCTTGTCTGAATAGTTTGAAATCATTTAGATACACTAGATTGTCATCGTACAGATCATGTAGCCATGTTTCTTGAAGTGATATGATCCCAGTATTTCGATATATAATGGAAGACACAAGTGATTGAAGATAGTTAATCTTGGCTGGCAGGGAGCGACAGTTAGTACTCATGATTGCAGGAACGGTCATAAATTGAATAGGGGTGTTTTTTAAGGCTCTTTGCCACCCGGTGTGATGCTTTTTTTTGTCTTTTTTATGGCATTTCCGATCAGTAGGTTTTAAGGATATTAAATACTCACGAGGATAAATAATCCGATTAGAGGACATATTAGAATAAAATTTAATTATTTAAAATAAAATTGGAAGTGAGCAATTAGATGCAATATGATTTGTAATGATTAAGGTATTTGGTAGCCCAAGATTTAAGCAGGCCGCCAAGGTCCAGTTCGGTATTGTTTTGTGTTGCTAATCAAAAGAATTTACAAATGATATGTCTCAAACTGGCGGTCGTCATGTTGCCGTGCGTACTACTGGGGATTGTCAAACTGACATTCAGTCTCCCTTGATTTTCAACGCCTTTCCAGTTGACGTCAGGTTCTGATATTTCCTGGACTTCTATATTGATCTGGCTTCCATGAAATGTCGTAAAAGTCTAACAATAGTTAAAATGGAATTGTTATTATTATTATGCTTAAGTGGTATGAGCACAGTTACAAAGAAAGTTACTGAGATGAATACTTCTTCATTTAGCTACATCATATTGGTGTGTATAACTTGAGCATTATACTAAACATTTTGGTGCTACGATAAATTTGATTATTTAACAAACCGAATAATCATATCTAAAGTTCAGAAAAATTAGGATATTAGAACAGTTTTTGAAAAAAGAAAAAAATAATGTGGACAAAAACATGTGTTAAAGTCTATTCAAGTAAAAACTCCTCTTTAGTAAATAAGTTTGTACAATTTGGTAACCTTATGGTAAGCAATGTGTAGTATATACATGCATTCATATGTACAGTTAGCTTGTCTTTGAAATATTAAACCTAAGATCAAGAAATCAATGTATTATCAGCATTAGTTTCCGGTGACTTATGATTAGTCTGGGAAATATCTGATGAGATTAAATCTGACAATGGAAGTGATTTGGCGTTTTCAGTATCTGTAGATGACGTGGAACTAGCATCCATATCAACGCATATTCTTACACATGAATTTTGAAGTTGACATACAGTCGACGAATTGGCTTCTGCATAATTGATTGTGTCGTAACTCTGATTCACTGGGAGACTATTTTCCGCGTGTGTTTCAACAGCAGGAATTTCCTTGTGAGTAATAAGATGGGAATCCAAAAACAAACTATGCTGCAAGCTAGTTGCTGGCATGGTGGTAGTTAAGCCATCACTTGAGGAGAGATTTTTAGTACTATCTTCTCCTGCATTTAAAATTACTTTATTTTGTACAACAATTCGATCATGTGAAGAACTTAGAGAGTATGAAGAGGCAGCGCTGAGAGCAGTTTTCAAAAGTGACGTTGAACTATCACTTGGAGCTTCAGATGTTTGCCCACTTTTTACGTGAACAAAGCAATCTGATTTAAGATCGCTTAAACTAGAGAAACTAGAGCAAACAACATCATCTACAACTTTGACATTTGAAGCACATTCATCAGAGAGCGCCTGTCCTTCAGAAGGTTTGGTAGCGACCAGTGCAACTTGACCAATTGACTGGATATCACTGGGTGCTGTAATATTTTCACAAGGAGTTGACGTTGAAACAGATGACGGTAATGAGTCACAAATTATGACATCATCAAGTTCATTATTCAGTGAGGAATTCTGTTGTGGAATTATTGTTGAACTCGGTGCGGAAACAGTGACTTCAGAAGCGGATACAGAAGTATTATAAAATGATGTTCCACAAGAATCTGCTGTCAACGTTACATCGACAGGGTTTGACAAATTTGAAGTGTTTACAGAATTTATGTTTCCATTTTTAATGCATGATATTTGTACGTCAGTAATAAGTGAAACATGTTCATTATCAGTAGGGAGTACAGGGCCATTTGTATTGCTATTACAAGAAGTAACTGTATCGTCATCCATAAGAAGATCAAGTAGACAAGGTTCAAGGTGTTCTGTATCAACTTCATCAGATTTTGGAGTAGGAGGATCGATCTAGAATGAAAATAGAGAAAATTTAACCAGCAAAGTACAAATTACCGTTAAATCCACTTCGTCAAACCAACTCTGAAGTAATTCAGTTTTATCATTATCATACTGAGATTGAAGAGCATAAACAGCTTGAGAGTGTAGACCGTCTGTTGCAGCATCCAAACGTTTAGCAACCCACCGACGAGCCCACCGACCGACTGGCTGGACAAATTTAAGCAAAGAAACTGCATACTCAATAAGACTTGGATCACTACTATAGACCTCGCTCAGTTGTACCAATTGCATTGGTCTGAAAAAAAAACACGACAACAACAGTCACTACATTGAATGCAAAAAGACAACTAAAGTTGATAATTATTGACAAAACTATCTCTAGAAGAATTCATTTCACAGAAAAGTCATACTTCCTTAATAAATATAACAAAATGGTGATATAAGGGGACGAATACATGAGTTTTCGACGTAGTTGTATCCTCTGAGCTGGATAGTTTATTTACGAAGCTTTTATTGGCCTACCATGCCTTAAAATCATCCACTTGAGTTACATATCTTCTCCATTATACCTACATGAGTTTTCTTCTGGTATATAAAGATCACTAAACTAATCATAAAACAATACATCAAGATCTCGATAGATACGTGTTCATTTTAGAACACTTTAATGTTATTGAGATATCGATTCTTAAAAAGAAGATCATAACATGAAATGAATGCAGTATGTACAAAAATGTCTCTCAGACACATTCATATTTCATCCCACCTGTTACTCAAGCTATTTAATTATCAATTAATACAGTAATATACAAACATTAGACTTTTTATGGAAAAGTTGATAGTTTTGAGCTGAACTCATTCAGTGAAACAAAAAGTCGGTCGGTCGGTCGGTTTTCGACATAGAACTTTGCACATATGTGCGGCAGTTCAAGTAGCCGCAATCCATGTAGCACGCAAAGCAAGAGAAGAAAGTAGAAGAAATGCATAATATAGACAGTAAACAGAGGTGTGAGACAAAGGAATAGTAATAACGGAGAACAAAAGTTTAATTGGAAGTCATAAGTCACAAGGAGTGGATGCATCTGCGCCACTGAGAACGATTTTGAGCCATGTCACCAATTGTTTCCAACCATTGGTTTTTACCATCCCGAGGGCCCCAACCAGGAAGTCTACATCTTCCTACGTGGCTTAGATTAACTGTTGTGGATTTCATTGATTGGTGCCATGTTTTGGTTTGACCGCCGCCAGCTCTTTTCCAGCCTGACCCTATATCAGCTAACATTGCCCGTCGAGGAAGGCGATGACTAGGCATTCGTAGCACATGTCCTAACCATCTCAGTCGAAGTAATTTCACAGTCTCGTCGATTGATTTCCCCGCCTTACCTAGCACTCGACGCCTAACCTCAATATTGCTCACCTTATTATACCACTTCACGCGGGAGATACAACGCAGACACCTATGATCGAAGACAGCTAATCTTTTCATGTCTTCTGCTCTCAATGGCCAGGTCTCACAGCCATAAAGGAGGACGGAGCGGACTGTTGAGCAGTACACACGCCCTTTGGTCGATAGTCGGATATCGCGTCTACGCCAGAGACGGCGAAAACTGGCGAATGCGAACCTAGCCCTCTGTATTCGTGCTGAAATTTCGTCGGAGATCAACCCGTTGGGGCTGATGGTACTTCCCAAGTAAGTGAAGCGGTCAACGTGTTCTACCACTTCACTTCCTATTTCTAATCTAGGGGTCGATGAAGTCCAATCCTGCAGCATCATCTTACATTTTATAGGGGCGAATCGCATGCCAAACATGCGGAGATTGTTGCTCAGGGTGTTCAGTAGACTCTGCATTTTGTCAGAGTCCTCGCCTAGAAGGACTATATCGTCCGCATATTCTAAGTCAACGAGATTATTCCCTGGTAGCAAGTCAATCCCTGAGTCGCTGAAGTGAGTTAGGGTTAAGTCCATTAGTACATCTATGATGAAATTGAATAGGAATGGGGATAATGGGCATCCTTGACGGACGCCACTAGTCGTCACCACTTCAGATGACAACTCGCCATAAGCCCTCACCTGGCTGCATGAGTACGAGTAGAGTGACTTAATCAGTGCAATGTATTTTCTTGGCATTCCCTTTACAGCCAAGCATCACCAGAGAACCTCCCGGTCGACAGAATCGAATGCCGCCTTTAGGTCAAGAAATATAATGATTGTCGGACGCCGGTAGGAATGCCTATGTTCTAGAATCTGTCGAAGGGTGAAGATGTGATCAATACACCCTCTACCTGGCCTAAAACCTGCCTGGTTTTCTCGTGTTTGTGTCTCCCGAGCACCACTTAATCTACGCAGTATTATTGAGCCTAGGATTTTAGATACTATATTAGTCAAGCTAATCCCTCTGTGATTATCACAAGACGACTTGTCCCCCTTCTTGTATATCAGGATGATCAGTGACTTACACCAACCCGATGGGACTTCCTCTGATTCCCAGACGCTGCCTAGAACCTCCGTTAACGCAGACAGTAAACTGTCGCCTCCGTACTTAAATACCTCTGGAGTCAATAAATCAGGTCCCGCTGCTTTGCCTTGCTTCAGATTAGTGACAGCTTTAGTAACCTCGGTTAAGGACGGAGGACCTGTGTCTATCTCCCATTCAGGGAGGTGTTGGATGTCCGGTAGGTTAAGTGTGGCTGTGGGCCAATTAAACTGCTCCTCATAGTGTTCTTTCCAGCGCTCCAGACGTCTATCCTGGGAGCTAATTATGGTGCCATTTTTCTCGGAGATTGTTTCGCTTATCATTTGTTTTTTACCACATGTTTCCCTGATAAGCCTGAATAGTTGTATGGTGTTGCCTATCGCCGATGCTTTTTCCATCTCTTTCGCCTTAGTCAACCACCACTGTTCACGGTCCTTGCGGAGACTTTTCGTAAGTTTCCTCTTGTGCAGCTTTCGCTCCTCATTGAATTCGGAGCTCGCCGGAATAAGTCTTCTAGCATCTATCAGTTCGGATGAGGCAGTCGAAATCCAATGGTTTTTACTCACCTTTGAATTTACCTTATTCACAGCTTTTACAGCTGTATCTATGGCTGACTGAATATTCTTCCAGGCTTCTTCAGGGTGAGCGCAGCTGTCAAACTCAGATATGTGTTTAGCTAGTTCTTCCTCAAATAGGGACTTAGTTCCCTGGTCGAGCTGGGGACGTGATGGGTTTACCGCTCGCTGTTTCCTACGTCCGTTCAGTCGTAAGCACACACGAGCGCGGACCAGTGCGTGATCGGTATCTACACACGTGTTCCAGAAGGAGCGACAATCTCCTACCGACCCACGCCAACGATAGCTTATTGCTATGTGGTCTATTTGTGTCCAGCGATGATTTGATGATGGGGGTCGCCAGGTCAGAGAGTGTCTCTCCTTGTGTTTGAAGTTAGTGCTTACAAGATACAAATGATTATCTGAACAGAACTGTAGGAGACGGTCACCGTTGTCGGTTCGCTGGCACGGAATTCCGTATGTGCCACCAACATTCTTCTCAGATTGACACAATTTCCCTACTTGAGCATCAAAGTCACCAGCTAAAACGACTATATCTGAGCGTCTAGCCTTTCGCAGCAAACTAGACAGCTTTTGGTAGAACTCATCCTTCGTTTCATCCGAACTGCAGTCAGTGGGGGCGTAGGCGGAGATTACGAAAAGGCATCGGCGAGTAGTGCAGTCCTTTCTCCTTTTCACTGATCCGTTCAGGCGGACAGCGCACATTCGGCTATATACCGGGATCCGGTCAAGTAATGTCTTTTCTGCTCTAGTACTTAAAGCTATCCCAACACCAGCTAATCCTCGTGAGCTAGCCATCGCATCTCCTGACACCCTCAAGGTGAATTTTGCAGATTCATCCTGTTGGCCAGGTGGGGTTAGGTGAATAACCACACTTGGGTCTTGTATGCGTGTTTCTGAAACACAACATACATCAATGGCTCGGGATGCCAGAGTCTTGGCTAGAGATGCTTGTTGTCCTATTTGGCAGAGTGTCCTAACATTAAATGCTCCTATATAAAATTGGTGGCGTGGTTTTAGGAGACAATCGGTGGTGGCTTTTTGGCTTCCATCGTTATCAGTGCACACAGAGTGAAGGGGAAGTGAAGAGCCAACAAGTAGAGGAGTTGCATTGGTAGAAGGAAGGCAAGATAATAGAGATGAAGATGAAGACAAAGATGAGCGAGGATTAGAGGGGTTACGCGTGCACTTTGGATTGTGAGGGCGATTGTTACTTCCCGGCTGCCCACACCGTGGAAGTTGGTTGCGTGACCGCAGAGCCCAGGGGACAACTGCTTGAGGCCGGTCACACACGGCCTGTTTTTGTTTGTTCTTTTTTATTTGGTGTGTCTCAGTAACGTATTTATCACTTCTGCCCTGTGACACGGCAGCAGAAAGCGCGGTCGTTGTTAATCCGGGCCCCGGCCGATCCGGCATGAAATTTTGTGATTTATTTGAAATCATAGGATTGGATTGGGTAACTGCTTTTAGTCTAACTGCTATCCAAACAACCTTTCTGGCATGGTAGGACCTGCAGGAACATAAGTTCCAGCCAGTATAGCTTGTTGGGTCATTGCAGTGTTCAAGCCCGACCACCACGTCAAGGTAGCAGCTTTCGGTCGCGGAAACAAAAAGTAGAGATGACCAGACTGTCTTTAAAATCGCAAAGTCAAATGACTAATCATCTTTTATAACTTTAACTAATTGGGTCAGGTGGCTTTAGTTTATTCAACAGCAAACGTTAAACGTTTGTCGGAGTAATCAAAACAACTGTAAAATAATGAAAATGATTGATGGTATTCAGTTTATTGAGCACATATGAGGATGTCCAAACTAAACAGGATCGGAAAAGCAAGAAAGACCTTCATTACCCTAAAAGCACTACGGGGATCTACTGCACTAAGCATAAGGAAAGAGATACGGATATTCAGTACTAATGTTAAGTCAATTCTTCTAAATAGTTCAAAGACTTGGTACATCCCCAAAAGCATTTCCCACAGTCTGTAGACTTTTATCAGTAGCTACCTTCACAGGATACTGAAGTCCAGATGACCAATCAGAGAGGACAATCAACTAAGAACGATGGAGATGGATTGGGCATACGACAAGGAGACCGTTTAGTGAGATCATAGGCCACGCTTTCGAGTAGGACCCAATTGGAAAACGATGACTCGGGCATCTAAGGGTGACACGGAAGAGATCGTAAAAGGAGGAAATGAAAGCTTATGTGTAATCATAGACTAGTCTAAGAAAGAATGCAGATAACAGGATGTAGTAGCGATGTGATGCTTAAGCGCCAAGTTTCATTCGAAACCCACGGGAGTAATTATAATAAGGGACTAACTAAACAAAAAGGATAAAATAAAGTTCATCAATGAAATTCACATAGCAGCACGTCTGGTGTGAGGACAAATACCCGCCGATGATATCGGCTAGTGGTCACGCTTTCTTGTGAATTGGCAGAAGTTGGAGGTCATGGGCTAGCCACTGGATCGGGTCCCAGTGGCTTAATGGTTTACGAGCTCGTCTTGTAATCGAAGGGTCCTGGGTGTATACTGATGAACAGTCCAAAACTAGGACAACACAGCTGTCCAGTACTCCCAGGCTTTCCAATGGTTCTCTAACCGATATCAGCTCATGATGAACTCCTGTATATTTACAGCTTGAAGGGGAATTTTATCAATATACCCAGTGGAGAAGTAAAATATTCAAATTACAATAAATTCAATTACAATACAGTTCAAATTACAATTACTTGACACCATAAGTAGTAGTAAGAAAGCAGCCACAATGTGTAATACAATAAAATACGACTCACTTTGCATTTCATTGAAATGTAAAATACGGTTAGCCATTATTAGTATTTAAGGGGTTTTCGCATGTGTGGCTTTTCGTTATTTAAATTATATAAACTATTGGTCTTTCACTACTTACATGTTCCTAACTTTTCACTTCTTCATGATTTTATATTTCTTTTTGTATGGCTTGATATATAAAACACAATTTTAAACTATCAATGATTCATACAAATTCGCCGTACGGTGGTTAGTTTACCTTTGAATTTTCGCTCGGATGAAGCCTCAAAACTGCCGAAAAAAATCTTTGGACGTAGATTTTCGCCGTGAATCAATATCAGCTAGGGAATTATTAAAAATTGAGATGTTATGACGCATTCAGCTAACCATGGTCAATGCAATTATCCACATATGTTTAAATACTTGTATAACTAGGCGTTCACTATTCCTGATTATACAACTTAATGTAGGACAATCATAAGAACATGTTTTGAGTGAAGTGGTTAAAACGGTACACTAAAATGTTTACTGAAACTGGATATATGTTGACAACTGGAAAAATGATTGAAGTGAAAACCGATAGGAACAAGAAGTGAAACGACTCAAGAAAGTCACTACTAATTGTTGATTTGAACTGAGTAGAGAAGTACTGATTATTTTATAGTTCGAGTCAACTTGATAAAAGAAATGCATGATAAGTAAGTAATATCCTTCAAGAGTGATTATGGTGAATCCAAGCCCATTGGTATGTTGTTTCTACTCTATTTCCAACATAGCAGCTCTAGTTTTGCTCTCTTTGCATTCTTCTTTCGTCGCATAGCATTCTACAAATTTTAATTAACTTAACTACTTAATGTACAGATTGACATTTTGCCAATTTCAAATACAGTGTAAAGTTTGATTATATGAATGGCGATTTTTTTATTATTTCCTTCACGTTCCCCAGTGGAACATAGGGCTTCAAGCTAGTGGCTTGAAGTTTCTGTAGCAGTGCTTATTTTACAGGATGGGGTTGATAGCTTCATGGTGATTAGCATCAAAATAATATTAGACACATATGGATAGAAATTTAAGACAGAATTTGAGCAATCACTACAGGTTAGGTTGATAAGTTTTCTAAATTTTATAGTAATAATCATCTGTTAAAAACGTCTACCTTTTGTTCGATTCAATTTGAACATTCGACACAAAAAATAAATCAGTCAACTTACGAAAATATAGTCAGCGGGCCATGAATAGCTGTAGCGATTGGTTCATCTGAAGTATTACACTTCAATTTATGTAAATTGTCGAGAATTTCATTTTGTTGAGCTGGATAAAGAATATTCATAACAAATGAGTAGTATAGAATGAAAGGTTTTAGAAAGTAAAGAATCTAAAAGGTCAGTATAGTATAGAACAACCATTACATAGGAAATGGTTGCTATGCCTTAGTTTTCTTGTTCATTTAAACATAAATCCAAAGAAGGCAATGGAAAATGTGCCACATAAAATTATTGGACAGTAGTAGAGAAGAAAGAGAAATAAAACAGTTGGCAGATGACAGAAAGAAACTGTCACACGGTCGCCATTGATTACGATTCTGAGCTGTATCTGATATCACCTCGAGTATTTTAACCTAATGGACTCCACCTATGGAGTTGTAATATATCAATATACAGCTAACCCACTCCTGAGCTTTTACCATCTAATCGCACGGCTACCAAACAGTAAATGTTATCGAAGTGGCCAAGTTGATAGTTGTACCATATGTCGAAGCCAATGAGGCCAATATCTCAGGATGACATCATCAACCAAAATAGAGTCTTCATCCTATTTGAACATCCAATGCTAGACTGCAGAGTTATATACACGGTAACTCCAGTATATGCGAAAAACTACAAATTCGAAACTTGAGTTTCGAAGTCGTGTGATTACAATTGATATGATTATGAACAATAAATTTTGTTCGAAATGTCATCCAGTAAATAATAGTGTTTCACTGTGTGATACATCTAATACACTAACTAATATGGAACAACTTCTACAAAGCCAACAATAGTCAAGAAGCTGGGTAAATGCTCATCCTGGCTCGGAAAGTCAAGTTTGACAAGCGTAAAGCTAGACTGCACGAAGGCAAACATTGCAAATAGAACGTTTCATGGTCAGACTTATATTATGACGACGCTAGAGGTCAGTGAATCTCTCTCCAGCTTTCGATGTGCGGTTGGAAATTTTGTGTGTAACCTACGGTATATTTAGAGAGTAACAACAATCCTGTCTAAATCCACTTGCGGTTGTGTGTTTTCGCTACACTTAATGTGTTCTGTACTAGACTTTCTAAGTGTTAGTAAAATTTTACGGTATACCTCGCAATCACAGATGATTCCAGGCAGGAATCATTTCCGAATCTTATGCCTTAGTTGTCTACTGGGTAAGTGAAGGCATTTGAAACGTAGTTCAAGCATCAATAGGGATGCACTTAGATCTAACTGAATGGTCTTTGAATAGAATGAAACGCATGTCCTAAAAGCCACTGTTATTCAGCATAAGAATAACACATTATGGGTTAAATTCAAAAGGCAAGACTTACCCATAGAATAGTCGTCCATCTTTGGAATATTTAGTGCTTTCTGTTTAGTTAATAAGTCTGTGAGAAGTGGAGGGTAAGATACTTTCTGTATTTTCTCCGGTTTTGTGGTTTCTTCACTTGTTACTGTGTCATCAGTTTTATTTTGAAGTTTCTGACCATGGGAAATTGTATTGGAACGCGCATCTCGGCATTCAATAGCAGAAACTTCTCCTTCAATTGTGCACTAAATGTAGGATCGGTATAACAAATCATGACTAGTTACAGACAAATTATCGTCAGAAGATCTTTCAAGTACCAAGCTATGAACCATATTTATTAAATGAGGCTTGGTAAATAAGAATTTATAACTGGTTATATACATGAACATAAAGAGAAGCTATCAATAGCACGAATAATTCCCAGGTTGGCTTAATAACTACTGAGAAGTATAGCAAGTACTTACAGACTGATGATAAACAGTATCGATATACAAAGGGGGATGTAAACTCCATTACTGATGAAAAAAATTATCATTCATCATCACTTTGATCATATGTGCAGATGTGGCTAATTAATTTAATCAGATTCAAAACCCACTCTTAGTCAGCTTCAGCCTACACAATGAGGTCGCAGCAGCACTGCACCATGAGGATGGACACAGCAGCCTATAACCACGCAGATAAAAGACATTTTCACGGGCCTAGACAGTATTATTTTATTCATTTTGCCACTTACTAACCATGATTAATGAAATTTATAATTCCCATCATCGCAACAGTTATTATGCATAGTAATGTAGGTGCCGATATGCCAATTGCACAGGCCGATATTAATTTACCTGGGACCATTATGGGTAGAGAAGCACTGGGAAAGATGAATGTAAACGGAGACCTCTCCGTTGACTTCTGCGGCTTCAATGAACTAGTGATTGTTGGCAGCGTATACAAACACAAGGATATCCACAAGGCTATATGGGTGTCACCAGATGGGCGAACCAAAAACCAAATTGACTTCATCTCAATGCTGCTCAAGAAAGTGGAGGCGTAAGCTTACTGGACAAAAAAGTAAGAAGAGGAGCAGACGTCGGCTCAGACCGCTATCTCGTACAAGGGACAATCCAAATCAAATTAAAAACTTTCAAGGAAACAGGAGCTGCAGATAGACCACAAGCCAAGTTCAATACTCCAAAAATGAAGGACCAGGACACAAAGGACGTCTTCACGACAATCATAAGGGAAAAGACGGACACAAATCAACACTAGCGAAGAGATCAGAGTTGAAAAGTACTGGGACAACCTGAAAGTGGTGTGGAGTCCAACCTGCATGGAAGTTCTAGGCAGAAAGAAGAGACAGGACAAACAGTGGATCCCTACGGATACATAGAGAGTAATAGAAAAGAGATTTGTGAAACAAAAGATTATCCAGTGCATCGATGAGCAACAAAAACAGGATTTGAATGCAAGCTACAATACAATGAACAAAAGAGTAAAGAAAAGTGCCAGGGAAGACAAAAGACAATATCATGAAGCCATGGCAAGTGAAGCAGAACAAGCTGCAGGCAAAGGAGGCCTTGCAACACTCTACCAAACAACCAGGTTCCTATCGGGAAAAAGTTCAACACAAGTTAAGCCAGTGAAGGATGACAATGGAAAGTCAATCACCAAACAGGTGGAGCAAAAAAAACCCTAACTAATGAACTACAACTTCACATTATTGCTATCATCACGCCAAATAATTCTGGACTTAAGTGAGTAACAATAAATTAACAAATAAGAGCTCAGAGATTACATTCAGGTATGAATATGCCAATATTTCAGAAATCAATAGCATAAGATAATAAGATACACAGTACAATTCCATGTTATTATCACGGGAGAAAATAAGATCACTCAGTTATACGCTACCACAGTGTCCAAGTTCTATTTGCATGCTAGAATTATTACCTTGCTAGGTTCGGCTGATACTTTGAATACTTATCCCTATGAAAACACTTTATCCATCTTTATTTTAAGTAACTCTTAGACTTACTAAACTCTAAACAATTTTTGCGACCACAAATAGAAATCCACTCAGGTTAAGACTTTAAATACTAATCCCTACGTAAAGTAAATAGTTGAATGAGAAAAATCCTATTTGCGACAATTGAAAAATTTCTTCTTAGCGTTTGTTCTATTATTGCAGGTTTCTGTTCTGCGGACTGAATGTTGAATCATCCCACTCTATACAACCACAAAGCTATCTGATAGTTATTCATCCCAATAGTCCCCTGAATCTCTTTAAGTTTAGTCGGCTACCATCACGCAAAAAAACCCTTTTACGTTGTTTTCGCTCTTCCAAACTGGTCATTGTCATATGCACTGAGTTCTTGTACATTGATTCATAAGTTTGAATGGAATCGGCAAAATACACTGGCTTTTATTAGATGTCAAATAGTTTTGGTAGCTTTTTTTCCACAGAAGAATGTAGGTAATTCTAAGCTATCTAGTGTGTTAGCAATAGTGATTTCAAATAGATATCCTTATGATATAAATATATATTTCATCATAACGCAACTGGGGAATATAGAGTTGGAATGACCTAAGACGCCCCCCTCCTCCAAGAATGTTTTGACACTTTGTGTGAAAAAAGACACACCCTATACTTAACAACATTTGACTTTACTCTTACCACTAGCAGAGGAGCTCAATAAGTTATTTTCCATAAAACCAACTCTTTTGTCCGATACTGGGACAGTAATATTGATACACAGATCGTTCAATTTGAAGAAACAAGATACTGGTGTGTAGCCAATAGGGTAACTACCATATCCGATCAAGCATTACACGCCATCAATATCCCTTGTCATGGATGAAAAATCTTCAACGAATCATTGATCAGTTCACACTGGCTTGACTAAATTAGCAGGGCTCTGAATCTAGTAACTATGATCACGGTCGAAGCATGGCATCTCCAGGGTGTGATGTGCAACTGAACATATATATATATATATATATATATATATAGATCAATAATTAATCAAGTTCTACACAAATATTACGCATATGAAGACATAAAATGTATAAACATTAACTCTTAAGTGTGTTTACATTATAAATTATAACATGAAGTCATTTGATAAAAATGTTTTTTTGCTGATAGATTGAAACATCTAAATGTGTATATAAAAATATTTCACCCAGCACTAGTGCTAATCCCTCTCTCTCTCTCTCTGCCACACACACACACACACAAACACACAATGTGCTTTTTTAAACTATCAAAAATCAACCAAGTCGATATATCCATAAGCATAAGAATGATATCTACATCAATTCACCTCTTAATTTAATTAAAAAAGAAATTTGGCATTAGTAGTAATAATTCAAAATGACGGTGAATAGAATTTAAGTAGTGTTACATTTTCTAAACCCTGGTGAAGTCCCTAGTCTTACATGGGACAAAACTTTTAAAAGATTAAGGCTCTTTCGATAGCACAAAGAGAGTGCTATTATCATCAGGAAGTCTGTTACAATACCCTCAAATCATAAAACTTTTAACAAGTATTCAAAGAAATGTGAGAGTAATTCGATTCAAATAGACGAACTAAAAGCATATGAATTATAGCTAAGACAAGCAAAATATAGCTTTCTAAACTGATGAGTCATTGCAAACATATCAGGTAATAACAAACCTTGTAGTAGCACTATGAATATGATTTGCTACACCGAGATTACGGACAAAATCTAGCCCATCACCACTCAAACTTGAAACCACGTTCATAAGAGATGACTGATAACCACTTGTATGAGGTGGAGCAGGAGGTGTCCCAACCAAATTAGGTGTACCGCCCAACGTCATATTTTCTGCTGCCTGGATGTAAATAGTGAAAAATCCATTACAAGACATTATAACTTTACGTTAAGAAATAAGATGGTGAGTAAAGCGTACCTATGAATAATAATTACTACACCAGCTGCTGCTGCTGGATTCAACATAGAACTTGGCACCGAAGTGCAGCAGTTTGTAGTGACCCGTTTTGTTACTCATCATCGCAGTATACTTTCACTATGTAATTGTACTTTGATTTGTTTATTACTCTAAATCTTGCATGTTAACAATTGATACTTTTATACTCGCTCGATTTTTGAATTTTGATTGCTGCAATAATACACTATCGTATTCCTTCGCAAGTGCCTTTTGAATTACGTTGCGGATGTCGAGTAATCGCAACGTTAGGGCACAAATATAAACGCGAGGAAGTATTAGGATATGTGTATACGCTAGTTTAGTCAAAATATAGCAGCAACAAAAAGTTCGAGTTGCCACGTTCCAAATAGCACACAAAGGTAGACAGGAAAATGAGAGAAGGGAATCAATAGAATTTAGATAAGTATAAGAGTGAAACAGAACGAGTAATGGTAGAAAGGAATATGAAGGTTAAAGAGACTGAATACATCTGCGTAAGCCATTGACAACGATTTTGAGCCATGTCACCTATTGTCTCGAGCCATTGATTCTCAGAGTCCCGAGGGCCCCAATCCGGAAGTCTGCATCTCCCTACCTGACTCAGTTTAACTGTCAGGGATTTCATGGATTGATGCCATGTTTTTGTTTGGCCACCACTTACTCTTTTCCAACCTGCACCTATATCAGCTAGTAATGCCCGTCGGGGGAGACGATGGCTAGGCATGCGCAGCATGTGACCTAACCATCTCAATCTATGTAACTTTATAGCCTCTTCGAGTGATTTTCCCTCTTTGCCCAACACTACGCCTAACGTCAACATTACTTACCTTATTATACCACCTAACGCGAGAAAGAGATCGTAAACATCTGTGGTCAAAAACAGACAATCTCTTCATGTCTTCCGCTCTCAAAGGCCACGTCTCACCGCCATAGAGAAGGACGGAGCGAACTGCTGAGCAGTATACACGTCCCTTGGTTGACAGCCGGATGTCACGCCTACGCCAGAGACGGTGTAAGTTAGCGAAAGCAGCCCGAGCTTTCTGGATCCGTGCTGTGATTTCGTCACCAATCAATCCGTTGGTGCTGATACAACTTCCCAAATAGGTGAAGTGGTCAACATGTTCTATCACTTCACTCCCTATCACTAAGCTAGGAGTTGACGTAGTCCAGTCCTGTCGCAGCATCTTACATTTTACAGGGGCGAATCGCATGCCAAACATACGAAGATTGCTGCTCAAGGTGTTCAGAAGACTGCATTTTGTCAGCGTCCTCCCCTAACAGGACTATGTCGTCTGCGTATTCTAAGTCTATAAGACTATTTCCTGGTAACAAGTCGATTCCTAAGTCGTTAAGTTCAGTTAAGGATACTTCCATTAGCATATCTATGATGAGGTTAAACAGAAATGGGGAAAGTGGACATCCTTGACGGACACCACTTGTTGTTATCAATTCAGATGACAATTCCCCATAAGCCCTTACATGGCTACGTGAGTTTGAGTAGAGTGCCTTGATTAGTGCAATGTACTTTCTTGGCACTTTCTTCACAGTCAAACATTGCCATAGTACCTCTCGATCCACGGAGTCGAAGGCCACCTTCAAGTCAAGAAATATGGCAATTGTTGGACGCCTAAAAGTGTGTCTATGTTCTAGGATCTGTCGGAGAGTGAAGATGTGATCTATGCACCCTCTACCTGGCCTAAAGCCCGCTTGATTTTCCCTCGTTTGTTCCTCCCGAGGTCGGCTTAGTCTATGCATGATTACTGAGCCTAGGATTTTAGAGACTATGTTCGTCAGACTGATCCCCCTATGATTATCACATGAGGACTTGTCTCCCTTCTTGAATATTGGTATAATAAGTGACTTACCCCAGTCTGATGGAACCGTCTCTGATTCCCAGACGTTACCTAGTACCTTAGTTAAACTATATACTAGTTTTTCACCCCAATATTTAAACACCTCCGGAATAATTCCGTCGGGTCCTGGCGCTTCCCCTCGTTTCAAATTACAGATAGCTTTAGTGACCTCACTTACAGACGGCGGGCCAGTGTCTATATCCCATTCGGGTATGTGCTGGATGGCGGGGAGGCTCAGTGTGGCTGTAGGCAAGTTAAATTGTTCCTCAAAGTGTTCTTTTCAGCGTTCGAGGCGTCTATCCTGAGAGCTAATTAAGGAGCCATTTTTCTCACAAATAGTCTCATTTATGATTTGCCTTCTCCCACCCGTTTCCCTGATGGGTCTAAAGAGTTGCCTAGTGTTGCCTATCGCCGATGCTTTTTCCATCTCTTTCGCCTTTGTTAACCACCACTGTTCACGGTCCTTGCGGAGACTTTTCGTAAGTTTCCTCTTGTGCAGCTTTCGCTCCTCATTGAATTCGGAGCTCGCCGGAATAAGTCTTCTAGCATCTATCAGTTCGGATGAGGCAGTCGAAATCCAATGGTTTTTACTCACCTTTGAATTTACCTTATTCACAGCTTTTACAGCTGTATCTATGGCTGACTGAATATTTTTCCAGGCTTCTTCAGGGTGAGCGCAGCTGTCAAACTCAGATATGTGTTTAGCTAGTTCTTCCTCAAATAGGGACTTGGTTTCCTGATCAAGCTGGGGACGTGATGGGTTTACCGCTCGCTGTTTCCTACGTCCGTTCAGTCGTAAGCACACACGAGCGCGGACCAGTGCGTGATCGGTATCTACACACGTGTTCCAGAAGGAGCGACAATCTCCTACCGACCCACGCCAACGATAGCTTATTGCTATGTGGTCTATTTGTGTCCGGCGTTGGTTTGATGATGGGGTCGCCAGGTCAGAGAGTGTCTCTCCTTGTGTTTGAAGTTAGTGCTTACAAGATACAAATGATTATCTGAACAGAACTGTAGGAGACGGTCACCGTTGTCGGTTCGCTGGCACGGAATTCCGTATGTGCCACCAACATTCTTCTCAGATTGACACAATTTCCCTACTTGAGCATCAAAGTCACCAGCTAAAACGACTATATCTGAGCGTCTAGCCTTTCGCAGCAAACTAGACAGCTTTTGGTAGAACTCATCCTTCGTTTCATCCGAACTGCAGTCAGTGGGGGCGTAGGCGGAGATTACGAAAAGGCATCGGCGAGTAGTGCAGTCCTTCCTCCTTTTCACTGATCCGTTCAGGCGGACAGCGCACATTCGGCTATATACCGGGATCCGGTCAAGTAATGTCTTTTCTGCTCTAGTACTTAAAGCTATCCCAACACCAGCTAATCCTCGTGAGCTAGCCATCGCATCTCCTGACACCCTCAAGGTGAATTTTGCAGATTCATCCTGTTGGCCAGGTGGGGTTAGGTGAATAACCACACTTGGGTCTTGTATGCGTGTTTCTGAAACACAACATACATCAATGGCTCGGGATGCCAGAGTCTTGGCTAGAGATGCTTGTTGTCCTATTTGGCAAAGTGTCCTAACATTAAATTGGTGACGTCGCTTTAGGAGACTATCGATGGTAGTTTTTTGGCTTCCGTCGTTTTCAGTGCACACAGAGTGAAGAGGAAGTGAAGAGCCATTAAGTAGGGGAGTTGCATTAGATGAAGGAAGGCAAGATAATAGAGATGAAGATGAAGACAAAGGTGAGTGAGGATTAGAGGGGTTTCGTGTGCACTTTGGATTGTGAGGGCGATTGCTACTTCCCGGCTGCCCACACCGTGGAAGTTGGTTGCGTGACCACAGAGCCCAGGGGACAACTGCTTGAGGCCGGTCACACACGGCCTGTTTTTGTTTGTTGTTTTTCATTTGGTGTGTCTCAGTAACGTATTTATCACTTCTGCCCTGTGACACGGCAGCAGAAAGCGCGGTCGTTGTTAATCCGGGCCCCGGCCGATCCGGCATGAAATTTTTTGATTTATTTGAAGTCATAGGATTGGATTGGGTAACTGCTTTCAGTCTAACCGCTATCCAAACAACCTTTCTGGCATGTTAGGACCTGCAGGAACATAAGTTCCAGCCAGTATAGCTTGTTGGGTCATTGCGGAGTTCAAGCCCGACCACCACGTCAAGGTATCAGCTTTCGGTCGGGTACTACACCAGACAGCACAATGACAAACAGAACTTGTTTACATTGTGAAACACCAAACGGAGATTCGCATGTAATGTATGACCAGATGATGATGATACTGTCTAACTGCTTATACACTCTAGTGAGTGGGAAAATTTTTACAAATGAGGCTACCACTAGGCTGTATGTTTTATTTCATCATTGACACAGTGTAATTACATTCCTACATGGCAAGCATTTACGAATCTCATATCTATACAAAACTATACGGTCTTCTCAGAATAAACTCAATGGAAAGTATTTTCTTAGATGAATTCGTCTTCTTAAAGTCACTGTGTATTATTATGATCATACGACCAAACCTAATATTACCAATCGTTTGGCTTCATCAAACATGACTGTAAGTTCACTTAGTAAAACCAATTATGTAAATCCAGTCCTCAATGTTCATAAGTCATTACTGTTTATTCTCTAACAAACGAACAAAGATAATCAACATAGAATTTACAGTGTAATAAAAGGGAAGAGACGCAAAAATTATTAATACGTATATTTACCTCTCGTAGGCTAACACATGGTGGGTGTGTTCCACCGATAACACCAGCATTCTCTAGACCAACCATTGCTCTAGTAGCCGCAGAGTATGCATCGAGTGCATCACCTCTGGCTAGAGCAGCAGCTGTAACAGCATCTGTAGCAAGATGTTGTCTTGGTTGTTTAGACGGAGGTGCTAATAGGGCAGCTAAGCTGTTCGGTTCAGAACCACAGTCGTCTCCTAACATCATAGGATCATTCAATCCGGTTGTGGACGCATGGTGAGCCTGTAAAGCGTTTAAATGATGTTGTTGTAACTGTTGTTGCTGCTGGTGTTGTTGAAGTCCTTGTTGATACTGATTATGCATAGAATATCGAGAGTGATGAGAACTGAAACAAGACCCTCGACCATAACGTTCACCAGTGTCTGTCATACCACGATGTAAATTATCATTATTATTTCCAGAGGTACCATTATTGACTGTACGTGGGACCATTATTGGTGGAAGAACTGTACAGGGAAGAGTAAAATAACAATAAAAGGTGACACAAGTGATAAGAAAATTTCACATGTCTATATACATATATATATATACATATATATATATATACATATATATATACATATATATACGCATTTAATACATGAAATGAGCAAACCAAGAAATTATTTGAAATGCCACTTACAATTTCTCATAAATTTGGATATTTTAGAAAGCACATATAAAAATTATGTTGCTTTAAGTGACAGACACCCTCAGCATTAATGGCACGAAAAACTGAATCAAACTTTCCTAGTAAATATCAATCACTAAGGTGGTGACACCAGACTCATTTTCAAAAATAGTTAAGGACATTTTAATTATCAAGAGACAAATGTACTTCTATTAAGTTTGACTTATATCACCAACAGAGTTCGAACTACGGCGAACCGTTAAATTTTCAACCAATGGGTTGCGAGTTTCAAGCCCACTCCATCTACCGAGGTTTGAGCAGCCAGGCAGTATCACTAGCCTTCACACATTAGGTTTGCATGTATTTGCAAGTGATTGTTGAATAACGTTCTCTTTATTTTCTTCTACTGAGCTATGAAGAAGAATGGAGGACTTAAGAGTTTTTACGAGTTGATCACGGATTGATATCAGTTAGAGAACCATTGAAAACCAGGGAGTACTGGACAGCTGCTGTTTCATCCTAGTTTGGGAATCATCGACAGTACGCACCTACCGGGATTCGAACCCAGGACCTTCCGGTTACAAGGCAAGCTCGTATACCATTCAGCCAAATACGTCATTAGTATCAATTATTATCCGCCCTAAATCTTAAATCCCTTACTATTTTGCTTATTTTATTTGACATCAATAGTAACCGATAACTAATCTCGACATTTAATTCTAGGAAGTTAATCAGTTAACTGCGTTATAAGGTTGATTAAACTCTTCTACCTATGCTGTACAATTTGCACAATAACATTAAGTTATCGAATTTCATAGGATGACAAAGCTCAAAAAACAATGAAACTAAAATGAAGATTTGTTAGTCTCTCCTGGTAAACATCTTCGGGATAGCTGGTTAACTCCTGAAGTTTGTGTAGTAAAAGTAATCGAAAATCAGATATATTTAATGACGAAAGGGTTTATAAGACTGGTTACTGTTAAATAGATAGTATCTGGTTTATATCTCCGCTTAATGCAGGTCGTACTATATGATGACAGACTTCCGAGCTCAGTTAACCGCATTTCTTGCTCGCATGCATACACAACAATAGAATGTATCTACAACAACGATGAAACTCATATCAATGAAAATAGAGTTATGAAGTATAAAAATTTCAGAAGTCAACGATTAGGATACAGAATTCGACTAACAATTCAGAAGTAAATTATTTTAAAGTTAATAAATAGATGAATATCAGCTTTATCAATAAAGTTAAAGCACAAAAATAATAATGATAACGATGACGGTCAAAGTATACAAACAGTTAACACAAACTTAATTAAAGTTTGAGGAATGGAATTTCAGATTCAATAACAAACAAACAATTAAGCTTAGAACAGCGAATTAGTACCAAAAAACAGTAAATGAAACATTGTAGAATACCACAAACGAAAAAATCAACGCAAAACACAACAGCAAAATAAACTTAAACCTACTAGCCCTATGATATTCTGTACACAAAAATGCTTTTGTAACAATCCACAGAAGTTACTATGATGTGTAGATTTTTTTAGTTAGCAACAGCATAGTAAGAATTTGTCGAATAAGTTTCATAAACCATATTACAATTTGAAAGTGTACATAAAAATAATAATAAAAATAATCAAAAGGGTTACCAACAAACATCAGATATCACTTTGTGCAAAAAAGAATCTGTCAAACAGAATACACCTGCAGGCGGTAAACAACAAGGAAGATGAAATTAAGCATCGTTTCATTTGTCGAATAAGTAATTGGCAGAGAGAAACACATGGTTTCCAACCCTGGCGGTGGTTGCATACTCCAGAAGAGTCCCAAACTAGGACGAAACGAATGTCCAGTACTCCCAGGTTTTCTAATGTTTCTCAATCTGACGTCAGCTCATGATAAAATCCTCCAACCAGTAAGAACAAATATACCCATGCAGACATAGAAAATAGTGTCGTAATAAGCTGTTACAATATTTGAAACAAAACACTAATGTTATCTGTTTTACAAAAAATAACCCTCCAAGATTCATATTAACAACATAGCACAAAACGTTGGTCAAACAGTGAGATTTTATTGCTCAAATATACATTGTATTGGATGTGTATAGTTGATGTAGGCATTAGCATACATGATTTCATATAGAAAACAGAATAATATCATTAGAAGGTTTTGGTTTTATGTTATAATAATAATAATTTATTTCTGGAACAGAAACCAGCCATTTTTGCAGGCATGAACATATGTACACTAATAAGAACTTATAGAATATATATGATTTGTTAATCTAGAAATAGACCGAATACTGGTAAATTTGAGAGAAATATTTAAAAAGAAATGTACAAATAAGGCAATAGGTAATTTTCGAGATATGCTTTCAACTGAATAATTCATGAGATATAGCGCCAAATCAAGACCGTAATTGAAAAAAAAACACGGTATGTCAATTTCACGCGGGAATTATAAACGATTACGTTAATTGTGGAAGGTAAGTAGCATTTTTGTACAGGTGCTGACGTGAAATATAAGAGATGCGGAATGAACAGTTATTGTAAGTAAATGATTCATAGAGTGTTTGAAAGTCCGTAAAACTTCAAATTCACCGGTAAGTACACCATAACTGTGACATTTCCAGTTGTATATGAGACCAACTTTGAACTTGTCAGCAGATTTCATGATAGAGGTGGTTCCGTTATTCACCAGGTGGGCTAGCAATATTCCGAATCAGTTGAGGATATTGGCACTGTTTCAGTGCCTTCGTTTAAGGCAGTACCTTTGAAAAGAGAAGAACACACAAGAAAACCGCCAGAGAGGTGCAGAAGTATATAATAGGTGTTAATAATTCAAAACATATATAAAAAACATGGGGTTCATCATTTTGTTGTTTTTTTCATTTAAAAAATACTATTTCCCCCTGAGATTTTCTAGTGATGGAATTCTAGTCTTTCTTGCGAAAAGAAAAAAGGTTTAAGTGAAAAAAGATGATAATTTTACCTACTTAGGTTGAATAGGAGTTAAACACAAAAGTCAAAGTGCGTGAACTATGTAGAAGAAAAGCGAGAGCTTAACAATAACTACTGTTTTTCTGAAGCATACATTTAGGTGTCCTTCTGAAGTAGGGGACTCATACCATGTACTTGCATTCGAGGAGTTTGTTATTTAAACCTCAGCTTTAGGCAAATTTTCAACTTCTGTTGTCTTTTTTTAAATTTTATTTATTGTCTTATTTTGCAGAAGCCATTCGAACTCAGGAGCCTTAGCAATAGAGTGCTGTCCCACAGATAAGGGTGGTTCTCATATGTCCCCACCACCATTGTATTGGATGTGTATAGTTGATGTAGGCATTAGCATACATGATTTCATATAGAAAACAGAATAATATCATTAGAAGGTTTTGGTTTTATGTTATAATAATAATAATTTATTTCTGGAACAGAAACCAGCCATTTTTGCAGGCATGAACATATGTACACTAATAAGAACTTATAGAATATATATGATTTGTTAATCTAGAAATAGACCGAATACTGGTAAATTTGAGAGAAATATTTAAAAAGAAATGTACAAATAAGGCAATAGGTAATTTTCGAGATATGCTTTCAACTGAATAATTCATGAGATATAGCGCCAAATCAAAACCGTAATTGAAAAAAAACACGGTATGTCAATTTCACGCGGGAATTATAAACGATTACGTTAATTGTGGAAGGTAAGTAGCATTTTTGTACAGGTGCTGACGTGAAATATAAGAGATGCGGAATGAACAGTTATTGTAAGTAAATGATTCATAGAGTGTTTGAAAGTCCGTAAAACTTCAAATTCACCGGTAAGTACACCATAACTGTGACATTTCCAGTTGTATATGAGACCAACTTTGAACTTGTCAGCAGATTTCATGATAGAGGTGGTTCCGTTATTCACCAGGTGGGCTAGCAATATTCCGAATCAGTTGAGGATATTGGCACTGTTTCAGTGCCTTCGTTTAAGGCAGTACCTTTGAAAAGAGAAGAACACACAAGAAAACCGCCAGAGAGGTGCAGAAGTATATAATAGGTGTTAATAATTCAAAACATATATAAAAAACATGGGGTTCATCATTTTGTTGTTGTTTTTTTTCATTTAAAAAATACTATTTCCCCCTGAGATTTTCTAGTGATGGAATTCTAGTCTTTCTTGCGAAAAGAAAAAAGGTTTAAGTGAAAAAAGATGATAATTTTACCTACTTAGGTTGAATAGGAGTTAAACACAAAAGTCAAAGTGCGTGAACTATGTAGAAGAAAAGCGAGAGCTTAACAATAACTACTGTTTTTCTGAAGCATACATTTAGGTGTCCTTCTGAAGTAGGGGACTCATACCATGTACTTGCATTCGAGGAGTTTGTTATTTAAACCTCAGCTTTAGGCAAATTTTCAACTTCTGTTGTCTTTTTTTAAATTTTATTTATTGTCTTATTTTGCAGAAGCCATTCGAACTCAGGAGCCTTAGCAATAGGGTGCTGTCCCACAGATAAGGGTGGTTCTCATATGTCCCCACCACCATTGTATTGGATGTGTATAGTTGATGTAGGCATTAGCATACATGATTTCATATAGAAAACAGAATAATATCATTAGAAGGTTTTGGTTTTATGTTATAATAATAATAATTTATTTCTGGAACAGAAACCAGCCATTTTTGCAGGCATGAACATATGTACACTAATAAGAACTTATAGAATATATATGATTTGTTAATCTAGAAATAGACCGAATACTGGTAAATTTGAGAGAAATATTTAAAAAGAAATGTACAAATAAGGCAATAGGTAATTTTC